CACACACACACACACACACACACACACACCACACACACACCACACACACACACACACACACACACGCACGTACACACACACGCACACAGGGCCGACGCGAAATCATGTAACGCTTTAAATTTGCCGACAAAAGGCCGTGGTTATTGGGTGCGGTCATTAGAAATTAGTCGTAACTGAAAATTGTGTTTATTCATCAGTCGCGTTACTCGACGCAGCGCGCCTGATCTGTTCCGTATTTATCGATCAGAATTTGCCAACAATGACCGGTTTTACCTTCATTTGCCGACAGAGGCCCTGACACACATGCGGTAACCAACGCACACTCGCAATTATGATAAAACACACCCCGCACCCCCCCCCCCCCACACACACACACATACACACAAACCCATTTCAGTTCACTGGGCCTTACATGTATGTGGCCCGGCCTGTTTCTGCTATGTATTTGCCTACCTTGGTTGATGGATTGCCAGTGGTGAAGGTGGCAACTCCAAGTCCTCTGTGGTTGAGAGTTCTGATTCAGAGCTGTCCCTGACAGGTTGATGTTATTCGTCAAGCCAAGTTGGGGTCTACTGGGAGTTCGAGATCTGGTAGCTCTGACTCTTACTGCCTTGCCTTTTCTCCAAGGGCGAGCTTTTGCCGGTGTGGGCTCGGCCTCAGCTGGCTCTACCTGGGGAGGCTCGGCTTCTTTCGGCTCCACCTGCTTGGGCTCAGCCGGGTTTGGAAGGGATGGGAGTCTCCGTTTTAAGGTGGAGTGCAACAGGAAAGGCCATTGGCGTCACGGCGACCCTATCTGCCTTCTCTGTCTCCTTACTCGTTCTCTCCAAAGCTGTTTCTGTTGCAGTGGCATCAGAAGGCAGCAGGTGTAAGGTTACGACTTATGGTGGAATAAAATGTAGGCAGAGCCTAATGTTATATTCAAGGCTATGGGCAGTGGGAGCTTGAGGTGTTGACCGAGCTGATGCTGAGATCAGTGACTTCGGCTCTGAGTTTTCGAGGTGATTGCAGTTCGTTTTTGTACGATACGGGATGAAATAGATGAGTAAATTGGGAGGTGCGTTCCTCCTCTTAGGTGGTGGGGAGCCCTTTCCCTCTTGTCCTTTCCTCAGACATGGGTGCCTGGGGGAGCAGGGATGAAGTCTGGTTGTTTTCAACAACCTGTAGCCTGAGGGCCGCCTTCCTCCTGGCAGAGCGGGGCAGGCTTCAGGCACAGTTGGGACATCTAGCTGCTTGTCCCTTTTTCCTTTCTTGTGCGCCTCAAGGCACACCTCAACGCTGTGTGCTTTGCTACAGACCATATTTGGATTGTGCTTGCAGCTAGCCAGGTGGTGGCTCTACTTTCATCACTTGAAGCGCCCTAGTAGCCTAGGCACACAAGGCTGTAGGAGCCCCGGGGACCCAATTCAAGGGTGGTGATTAGGCTCTCGTCGGGATCACCAAGACGCCTGGTTGGGGTCTTCCCTTTTGACAATCGGGAAGCTCTCATGACCTGGAAAGCTAAGAGCACACGCACGCGCACACACGTACACGCACACACGTACACGCACACACACTCACACTCACACTCACACTCACACACACTCACACTCACACTCACGCACATTCACATACGCACTCGCACACACACCATATTTACTGGACGTATATGTGTACATAAATAATTGACACGGACACCCTCACACAACGAAGCTTCCAGTGGTGCTGGCGGTATTTGTGCGTTTCGCAATTCGTAGTTCGTGATGCGGGAACCGTAGACGCAGATGTGTTTCTACATTTGTTGGTGGTAGCCAGTAACGGAAGACATGTAGCGACCAGGTAGTAACGGTAGCTTCGAAAGTGGTAATGTAAAGCACCAAGATAGGGCATGTGCAAACCGGCGACTGGAACTTGTCTCTCAAGGAGCGAACGGTAAGAGGCTGTGGCCAACGGAGGTCTCGAAGGTAACCGACCTGGAAAAGAGGGGAATGAGGTAGTAGTCAATATAAGGTTTGTTAATAGACTTATAGGCCACGTGTTTACTCACACAAAGTGTGAGGAACGAAATCCGAACGGGTTCCAGACCGCGGACGGGATTCGAAACGTCTTGCATTCGGTAGCGTTTGTAGCATTTATTATTCTTTGTAAGAAAAAATAGAAATGTTTTACAATTTGAGATTTATACTCACCATATTCTTGCTGTTTAACCTTTTCTTTGCTCCTCTGAATCACATGGCGCGCCATAGACAAGCGCTCTGCATGCCAAGGCTGGCACTCGTGTCATAGGTTGCCGACCTTTGCACTATACCAAGGGTTTTTCAGTATCAATATACACATTATTATTATGATTATTTTTTCTGTGATTTAAATGCTTCGGAAAATATACGCCTTCACCACAGGTCCATTCCCATGATTGCTTGATTAGAGAGCTGGAATCTGTTTTCCCCCCTTCATCTTTTTCTTCATCTCTATTTCTTTTCACCTTCTTTCATAGGGGTAAGTTTAGTTTACATAGCTTGAGTTTTGTTCTTTACAGAGTAGTGTTGTGTCTAGCAGCAGCAATGGCATACTTGAAGCCAGTAAGAGGCCAGGCCCCGACCGCTTTCCCAGAGTACGCACACCAGGAAGATGTCAAGACTCTGGCTCTCAGTCAGAATAATTTTACCAGGGACTTGTATGTGGTAAGTTTTGGTATCATAATACTATTAAGCCTGCTAATCTCAGCAGCTGCTACGGATCCGAGTATGCACGTGGAGGCAAGCATTCCCAGTCCCCATTGTCTAAGTTACTGTCAGATCAACACAAACACTGTTCACTTCACCGAGGGGGTTTATTAATCTACAAGGAATAGAGACACATCAAACAAGGGGCGAAAATCACAGTTTCAGGCGGAGAAACGAGAGGTGGTGCCGCAAACACGCCTTCCTGAGGCGAGAGTAACGGGCGATCTGACTGTGTGACGAGACACCCCTCTCCTCACCAAAACTCCAGCGAAATAGACACATTAATAGAGGATGTTGTAACAATACTATATAGTAAAGTATTGCTCACACAAATGATATGTCACTTATGTTGTATGTCAATAAGTGTAACTTGCAGAACATTCATAGTGATATCCCACCATTACTACTACTTCCAGTGTAAATGTTTAGTACTTAATTCATACTATGCAATATGTATGACATATGACTGTATGTATAAGGTATCTCACCTAACCTTAGTGCCATCCTCCAGTTATTGTCAACAATTATTCGCCTTTCAATTAGAAGACATAGTATTGCACCAAGAGGGGTACTGTTGCACAACATTATTATAGCTAAGGCTAATGATAATGCATATTAGAAAAAACGTATCTTAAAAGTAGATGCTGTCATAACATACAGTACCTCAGTAGAAACTTAAATATGTAGAATCAGGCTATTCTTTTCAACAAACAATTCTCCTTCTAAGATAAGTCATTTAAGATATTAATTCAGGCAAGTTATTCAATAGTCTGTGATGTTATTCAAACAGTTTGTCTAGATCTCATGCTAAATACCTCTCTGTCTTTCACAGCTTTTGGCCCAAAAGAAGCCGGGAAATTTGTTCATCTCTCCATTTAGCATTATGACAGCTTTAAGTATGACATATGCAGGAGCAAAAGAAAACACAGAAGAGGAAATGCGATCAGTGCTGCACTTGACTCAAGAAAATGATGCTCTTCATAATGCTTTCCAAGATGTGGTATCAGATATCAAGGTCAGTAAGAAAGATTATACCAAATCACTGGAAAGGTGTTGGTAATAGATAAATACAGCAGAGCGAGGCCTATTCCCTAATCCCTAATCAAAATCAGGAGAGCACAACTAACGATATTAACTCGACAATTTATACGCCCTCTGCATTGCTTACAGTAATGATAAGCCAGGGTCTGTAGAACAAACACAGATAGAAATAACAACTAGTGGCATGACTTTAATCTATTTCATCCAATGTCTAATGTAGTCTGCAGATAATCACCCAATTTCTTCATATCTCAGTTGTTTTTTCTGAATGTCTTAACTGTGCCGTTAGTAACCAGTAATGGAATGTGTGCCTAAAAGTGTGGTTAGCTACAGATTGGAGATATCCTTGGTTGTCTGGACACAATAAATGTTTTCCCATTGAACCCATTATAAAAAGGATATATTTGACCCAGATTTACCTAATGGAGCATACTCAGATATATTTGTTGGCATTTTATTTGGCACAGTTCTTTTCCATATATGTTCTTTTTCTTTTCTATGGGAGCATGTGTATGTATATTACATATATGCATTGTCTTCAGCCATTTTGTACTTTCAATTTATTTGACACTTTAACACTTATAGCATGAAATATTATTTAGATATTCATTTGAAAGAGCTAAGCTATCTATTGTATTATTTTCCAGGTATAATATTTTGTTTGTATTGTATTTTATATATTGGCAGACTTTTAGTTGAAATTTTAAATTGGAGGTTTTTATATTCAAAGTTTTCTTTGAAGAATAAAAATACATTGCCATTAACTTTCGAATGTGATTGATATACTGAATGATCAACTCTGCAACACATTAATCTGTTTTGTGGATATTTTGATGATTGAATTCATATTCATATATGTCAGCTTATTTAGGTAAAAGAAAAAACAAATATTTTCACAGTGTTATTCATTACAATTATACTTATGTAATAATAGTGATGTGAATGTGAACAAATACATCTTCAACAGACTGAAGCTCCTGAATATGAACTGAGGACAGCAAACATGGCCTATGTGTCCAACAAACTCACTGTTTTGAGTGAGTTCGCAAATACATTGAAGGAGAAATACCTCAGCTCCTCCAAGGTCGTTGACTTTGGTGAAAGTGAAGCAGTGCGCAAGGAGATTAACGATGTAGTAGAGAAAGAAACCAATGCCAAGATCAAGGACCTGATTCCTTCAGGTAAAGATTCCTGTAGATTTGACGTGATAGTACTTGACAGAACATTCATACACGCAAGCACTCACATGTACACATACAC